CGACAGCTCCCGGACAGCTACTCAGGGTCTCTGGGGTGGGTAGAGGAAGTGGTTAACTCCCTCCCTCACCCCTGTTTCACTTCCCCCCACCCTGGGAAGCCATGCCTCTGTGTTCTCCCTTCCTTAGGCTTCAGCCCAGGGAGCGACTCCCAGGAGGGGGCGGCCCAGGCTGCCAGGTGGGGGGCTTATTGGAGCATGGGGGGCAGGGGCTGGCAAGTGGAAGAGATGCCAGCACCGCCTCCGTCTCCCCTCCTCCACCATCAGGGCTCAGTCCCACTAGCGCTTGCTTCCTGTCCCCAAAACCCACAGCACACGGTACTTCCTCTCCACTCTTGGGGAGGGCTGGTGAGTGGCCTAGGGAGAGGAGGGCTCAGGAAGCAGGAGGAACAGGCTGGCATCAGTACAGACTGTGTAAGTCACTGGCCAGGTGAGGGGCTGGTGGGGTGAGGCTGGGTCTTCACAGGGGCCTCCTAGCTGCCCACCTCGTTCTTGGCAAAGTGGCTCACACGGGCAAGACCAGGCTCCCCACCTCCCCCAGGGGCCTGCTGCCAGGGCAAGGAGGCCAGGGTTCATCTGTCAAACTGGGCACACCCACCCTAGATTCCTGATGCTGCCTGACAGACAGCTGTGGTGACAGGCCTCCCATCCATAGCCCCTCTGCTGGGCAAGGAAGTGCCCCTGCAGACAGACCCTTGTGGGATTTCCTGAGCCTCTAGCTCTGGAACCAGGAGCCAACCCAGGCAGGAAGCCGCGGTACCAGGCTGGGCACCACCCTGCCCAGCACCCATCCTGGGGCTGCCCGGGACGCAAGCGCTGCGAGAATCTATCAAGAGCACCAGCGGTCTGTCAGCTCCATCCCCGGCTGCCTTCCCCTTGGGCCCAGGCCTGGCCTCTGTACCCCGCACCGCCGCCACCCCAGTCCCCGAGGCTGGCTCTGGCGACTGGCGGCCACCCTGAGATTCCCAGACCTTTGAGCCGGTCAGTGGACTCCGCGCTGCGGGCGCCGCGGGGAGGTGCCCAGCTGGATGGCCCGGCTCTCCCAGTTCTGGTGCCTCCTTCGCTCTGAGGGCAAAGTACCCTGCGGGCCGGGGGCTGGAGGAGGAGCGCGCCGGCCGGGGAGAGTTCAACCCGCGGGGGCGCCCCCGCCGATGCGAGGCTCCAAGGAGCCGGGCCGGGAACGAGGCCAGGGTCCCGCGCCGATAGGGGCGCGGAGAGGAACCGGGCGCCGGAGATGGCGGGCCGCGCGGAGGGGTGCAGGTGGGCACGCTCACCTGGCTGCCGCTCACCTGTCGGGCTGGGCGCCCAGGCCCGGGAGGGAGAGAGGGCGAGGAGACGCCGCCGCTCCCGCTGCGGTCTGCCCGACTCTGGGGAGAGTCCGCCCGGGGCCCTGGGACCTGCCTCCGCCCATGTGATCCCGGGGCCGCCCCTGCCGCCGCCCCTGGCCCGGGAAGCCGCCGCCTCCGCGCGGCGAGCCCAGGCGCTGCCACCTGGCCCGAGCCCGCCGGGGGGATGGGGCAGGCTGTCCCCAGGGCCCCCTGCAGGCTGCGGCCGTCCAGCCGGTGGCGCCCTCATCTTCCCCGGAGCGCCCGCATGCCCCCGACCGCCCGGGGCACAGCGGAGCCGGTCCAGTGACGGCCCCGCGCCCCAGTTCGCAGACGGCCGAGGGGGCAGCCCCATAAAGCTTTCCCACGCCGGCCGCGCTCTCCCGCTCCTCATCCCCAAGCCCTGGGCAGGGTGGGCTGCCTGGGTGCGTCTGCGGTCCGCCTGGCTTCTCCACCTACTCCAGGCTCGGAAGCTGGCGCAGATGCGGCCTTGACACCCACAAATCCCAAACCAAGGCCACCCTCCTCCCGCCAACTCCCTTCCTGAGCGCTGGTTTCTCGCCAGCGCAGAACTTCTCTGCCTGGAACTTCTCTGCCTGGAAAGGGGACCCGCAGGGACCCTAGGAGATGGAGAGAGAGCCTCCTGGCTGGGGGTTCACCGGACACCCCCACCTCTAGGCTGGTACCTTCCCGTTCCCGTGGGCCCTCACCTCACCCTCTCTGCAGGCCTTCACACCCCTTCCTGCCCTCTCCCCCGTCCTCTTTCAAGCATCTGGAGCTCAGGCTGTAAGGATGAGGAGAGGGCAGCCAAGGAGGGGACCCAGGTGCCAACTTAGGGAGGAGGAGCTGTACCTGACAACCCTCTCCCAGGGGACCTCAGGGCCACAGAGCCGCCTCTCCTTGGGTCTCCACTTCGCCTCTGGCTGCCAAGCTGCTGTGTTTTCAGGGGATCACACCTGTGGGTGCAGCTGTGCCTCTCCTGCCTCAGGTGTGAGTCATTCCCTCCACGCTCACTCTGTGAAGAGTGGCCTCCCCACGCCCCTCACCTGCCCGTGCCTTCGTCTCAGCCTCCCCGCGTTCACACTTCAGCCCCCCTCCTCCCACAGCCTCTGTCCTGGGCGTGCAAACTCCTCTCCCACTGGCTGGTTTCCAGCCTCCTGGCATGACCACCTGGCCTGATTGCACCTGTTCCACCTCCCTGACTAGACTGGAAGCCTCTTGAGGGAAAAGGCAACTACAGGTAGGGTGAGCACAGCCCCGGGGGCACACACTAGCCCCCAAGTGCACAGCTGTGTCTCACCGGCTGTGTGACCTTCAGCAACTTCCTCAGCTCCTCCAGGCCTCAGTTTCCCCATGTGGAAAATGGGGATAATGTGCCGCTTACCCTTCTGTTGTAAAAATTGCTTGGCCACAGGCAAAAGCCAAGGATGGCACAGAGGTGTCAAACAGAGTCCCTGCCTCAAATGGGGAGGGGACTACTGGGAAGGGACCCAAAGGAAGGGAAATTCATCCATTCAGTTCTTCCACGCAATCATTCCAACAGCATTCATTCAGTGAGTACTGAGCACCAGTGAGTACTGAGCGACAGTGAGTACTGAGCACCAGGTACTATGCTTGCCTCTGGGAATGGAGAGTGAACCAAACAAAAGCCAATCATTTCCTCAGAGAGCCCCTCCTGCATACCTTGGACAGACTCTACAAACAGCCCCAGGTTCATCTGGCAGGGCTTTCTGATGGGTGGGTTGTGAATTCACAAAACCCACCACAAAGACAAGTCAGCGGATGCAGGCAGGGCACAACTCTGGCACAGAAGGGGACATGTCCTGCTCGTAGCCTCTCCGTGGCCCTGGGTAAGCCACGTCACCGCCCTCCCCTCTCATGGGTGAGCCATCCCCAGCAGCCTCTGATCCTCCCTTCACCCCCCGCCCCCCCGACTCAGGCCAGGTCGAGGCACAGAAGCATCTTTCAGGCAGGACTGTGGTGCAGACAGCCCAGGGTTGGAGGGTTTGTTAGCTGCGGGAGGTGCCAGCGCTCCATCAAAGAGAGGGTGTGGAGTTGGTCTCTGTCCCAGGGAGAGGAGGCCTCAGTCCTGATATGTTTTATGAGGGCATCAGGGAGCTCATGAAATAAGAGCTGGGATGGGGGAACGGCAACCCGGCCAGTGGGTTCTGAAGAATGGTCGTTTCTAGGCCAGGATGGGCTGGACCTGCCCATTTAGAACCAGACCAGGGTGAGGATGGAGGTGGATGGAGGACTCGTTCTTCCAGCCGCTGTTTAACCCCTGCTGGGTCAGGCCGCACCCAGGTTCAAGAAACCAGCCAGGGTTAGGCCACTGCCCTGTCAACCATGAGCCCCTCCCCTCTGTCCTGACAGAACTGGGCACCACCACCTTTCACTCCAGCCACCACCTCTTCACACCTCCCTTAGGTGACAGGCCTAGAAGACAGGATTGCCAGGAAGAACATAAAAGCGGCCCAACCCTGGGCCGCCCTAGAGAAGTCCCTGACCTCACACATGACCTTCCTTCTCCAAGGGCCCCTGGATGAGGGCTGCCTGGGCATTTAGTAGATTTCAGGAAGTGAGGTAGACCTGACTTCAGCATTTAATAATGATGTGACCTAGAAAGCTTAATTTCTCAGAGCCTGGGTCTCTCCCTCTGTAAAATGGAATCATAACCTGCCATGGTGAGGCTCACGTTAGGTAACACCCGGAGAGGCCCTGGTGCCCTGCTCACCTCTCAGCAGCAGCTGAGACACGGAGCTGCCTTTCTTGGCAGAGTGCCTGGACTCTGCCTGGACTATGCCACCACTGTCATCCCACAGGGACCCGCAAGCTCCAGGACTATAAAACCTTGTTGAAGATCAGGCGCAGTGGCTCACGTGCGTAATCTCAGCACTTTGGGAGGCTGAGGTGGGTGGATCACCCAATGTCAGGAGTTCAAGACCAGCCTGGCCAACATGGTGAAACCCTGTCTCTACTAAAACTACAAAAATTAGCTGGGCATGGTGCTGCAACCCTGTAATCCTAGCTACTCAGGAGGCTGAGGTGGGAAAATTGCTTGAAACTGGGAGGCAGAGGCTGCAGTAGGCCGAGATCGGGCCACTGCACTCCAGCCTGGGCGAAAGAAGGAGACCCCATCTCACAAAAACAAAACAAAACAAAACAAAAACCCTTGTTCAAGAGTAGTTTTGGCTGGCTGTGCCTCACCACTCCCAGCTTCCCACAAAGGACTGCTCAAAAGCCTGAGCCCAAAGAGGAGAATAAACACACACAAGGGCTTCGGTGTGGAAATGGAGCACACAGAAGGAAAACAGCAGAACAGTCAGAAATGTCATCTAGCCCAGCAACCCCACGGTGGCAGCTCCAGAATCAAAACAGTCTGCAAACAAGGCCACATTCAGTCCCCCATCTCTGATGGCTCCCTGCTACCAGGGCCTGGCACTGTTCATTCTCCCAGCACTTCTTGCCACACAGCTGCCCAATCGTGGGGGCTATCCCAGCCTGCCTGACACCCAAAGGCAGAGATCTTTGGAGGTAATAACGGTGTTTTTCCATCCTCCCCTTACACACACACCTGTCCCACCTGTCTCCCAGCACAGCCCCCAGCAGAAGGAATTCCCATCTTCCCAGACAGGAGAAGGCATCTCCTACCCCAAGGAAAAGGCCTCAGAGACAAAGTCCCTTGTGTCCAGGTTTATTTTACATTCTCTTCCAGAGGGGACGTGGGGCTGGGGGAGAGCTAGCAGGCAGGCGGGCAGCACACAGCAGTCTCCCTGGGGAACATTTGAGCCAGGCTAGTGGTGCCCGGCCCCACAGTGCGGGGTGATATTCCAGGACCAGGCCCAGGACTTGATAGCCCCTGGGAAGAGGTAGCCTTGGGGCCAGAGCTCTTGCCAGGCCTGGATCGCTAAGAAGGTGCTGCTGTCCCCCGCCTTGCTCCGCCCCCCACGCCCAGCTGGAGGCCAGAAGGCAAAGTGGGCAGCCGGCAAGCTGGGGGGGTGGGAGGAACCCCAGCAGGCGGGGGCGGCCTTTGGTCTCTAGGAGGCTAGGAAGCTGGTCCTGGTTAGAGGAACCCCCTGGGGGCAAAGCGGAGCGCTGGTCCCTGTTAGAGGAAAGCTGGAGCAGGATGGGGGTGGGGGACTTGGGGTCTGGTCTCAATAAGGCCTGGAAATGGTCTCCACTTCAAAGCGGACCTCTGTATTTGGGGAGTGGGGTGGGGAGGAAATGAAAGGGCTGTGGGAGGAATGTCTGTGAGTCGTGGGTGGGAATCAGTCCAGGGGGCTTCGAGGGGGGTCCGAGGGAAAGGCTGCGGGGGTCGGGGTCGTCTGCAGATGCCGGGAGCTCAGGTCCTGGGGAAGGAGGATGTGGGCGGGGGTCATGTCCCTCCCACGAGTGCCACTGCTCCCCACCCCATCCTGGCTGGCTCCAAGTTGCCATGGAGACCACTCACACCGGGGCAACGTAATTTCCAGGGAATGTTCCGAATTTCTGGGTCCTCCGGGAGACACCTGAAAGAGGAAAGGCAGGAAGAGCGTTTCCCGCTCCCTTCTTCAACAGGGATGCAAGGGTGAGGGCCTGCCCCCTGCCGGCAGTGCCCAGAACTGTAGGGGAGTTCTGTAGGGGAGCCCAGGGAGGGAGTTGGATTTGCTCTCCTCCTTCCTGCCCCCTAGCGGCAGAAGCTTAGATGGGCAAAGCTACACTTCCCACACTCAACAATCAAAGAATCTGAGCAATTAACAAAGGCGCATCACACTGCACACAGCGCGCAGTCACTCCCCACCTCCTCCGCAAAGTGGGGACGCAGGAGGAGGAATCATAGAACTGAAATCGGGAGAAACGCCCCTGGTCTAATACGGCACCCTCACTTAGAGATGGGTGGGAAGGCCTAAGAGAAGACTGAATGAATTGCCTGAGAGCACCCCCATGCTTAGGAGCAAGCTTGGGACACAGATCCAGGCCTCTGGTCTACAGCCCCACAGAAACTCGTGTCTTGAAGAGGAGGAGGGGGAACCCCAGCGGGCAAAGCATCTGGGGGGCCTGGCACCCGATGCTTCCCCAAAGCCAGCACTTCTGTTGGCTGCCTTCCTTTGTGCCCTGAAGACAGTGACGCCCTGGAGGAAACCGGCACCAGCCCAGGGTCACCGATGGGTCACTGTGGACCCAGGCCAGGGTTGAGGACCTTCAGAGCCCTGCCCCTTTCCCCTGCACACCCCTGCCTCTGGAGCAGCACTTGGGGAGAGCTCCTGGTGGAAAGGCCCAGAGCTCACACCTGTGTATCCCCACACCCCCCAGCTGGTTCTTCCAGCCTGGGAGGAAGAAGGAATGGAGAAATATAGAAATACAGAAATGTAGTAAGTATTATTATATTCCTATATATGGAAAAATAGGAATATAAACTCAAATGAACGTCACTCCTGACCTTGGGTGAATGGATGATCCTGAGCCTCCCCTTCCAGGCTGGCACCCTGACTTCCTTGGGGGCAGCCCATGCTCGTCCCACCCCCACCGTCATCCTCTGCCCTGAGTACCTCCCTTTCCTCTTGACCTCCCCAAATCCTTCCCCTGCCCTTCCAGGCCCAGCTCCCTCATTTCCTCCAGGAAGCCTTCCCTGACCTGCACTAACTAAAAGGGTCACCACTCGCCACGTGTGGCTGTTGGGCACTTGAGACTGGCCCATGCAACTGAGGAACTGGATTTTTAGTTTATTTCATTTGAGCTACATTTCAACAGCTGCATGCAGCTGGTGGCTGCCATACCAGAGGGCACAGGTCTCACCCATTCCTCTCAAAGCACTTGTGGCTCATAACACAAAAGTGGTACTTTTTCTTCTTGTCTGCATAGATTTGCAAAACTTTATTAGTAGTTGTAAAAAAAATTGCAAAGCAAAAGTGTATCGAGTAAATTTGAATACATCTCTAAGCACCGCCTCCCTCCCTCCCCCATCAGAAGGTAGGGGCCATTCACAGGGTAGTGCTTAAGGTCCTGGGTGGGTCAGGAGACTGGCTGGCAGCTGTACTGGGATCAGATCAGGAAGGGTGGGCTGCCAGGTCAAGGGGCTGCCCAAGCAGCCCCCCAGCTCCTCAGGCCTCAAAACCTGCTTGGGGAGGGGCAGGGGGCTTCTGGCCACTCTCTTCTCTGTGGGGACGGCCCATCCTCTGAAGATGAGACCTCCACAGGGCCAGCCCACTCTGGGGAAAGAGGCCATGTGAAGCCTGGTAGGTTGGTCACCTTGATTCAGGCCGAGGCCAACCTGAGGCTTCCTGCATTTGTCCTTGGTCAGAGCTGCCCTTGGGCCAGCCCTGAGGGGCTGGGACCTTGCTCCACTCCCTTTTCCTCCCAGGCTGGAGGAGCCAGCTAGGGGTTGCAGGATACACAAGTGTGAGTCCTGGTCCTTTCCACCAGGTTCTTTCCCCGAGGGCTGCTCCAGAGGCAGGGGTGTGCAGGAGGAAGGGGCAGGGCTCTGGAGGTCGGGAACCCTGGCCTGGGTCCCCGGTGACTCCATCGGTGACCCTGGACTGGTGCCAGTTTCCTCCTGGGCCTCGGCCTCTTCAGGGCATGAAGGAAGGCAGCCAACAGAAGTGCTGGCTTTGGGGAAGCATCGGGTGCCAGGCCCTCCCCAGTAGCCCGGTCGGAAGCTGAGTGGGGGGTGGTCGGCCATGAATCTTTGCTGAAGTAGCACTGGCAGGCAGCAGCAGCCTACCCACATCCCCTGGGGCCCTGAGATGCCCCCTCCCGGCCTGCCCACATACCCACAAACCAGCCATCGTCACACTGCTGCATGACATCCACCCTGTCCCCCTCTCGCAGCTCCAGCTCGTCTTCGTTCTGGGGCCTGTACTGGTACATCGCCCGGTACCTACGAGAAGCATCATCACGGCAACTGGAGAACGGGCCCAGAGGCTCTAACCCAAGTGTTGCCACTTCCTGTGAACGCCCCAGGGTCCCTTCACGCTCTCACTAGCCCCTGCCCCAGCTCTTCGGAGCGACTCTGCCTGTGCTCAGTGCAGTCTTTCCCAGGCCTGCCTTCTGCCCTCTGGGCCCTAAGCCACTGAACCCTCGCCTCCTCTGAGCACCTGGTGCCTTCCTGTCCATTCTACCGGTTCCACACTTCAATTCTACATGCACTGACCTCAGGGCTAGAAACCCAATGAGGAGACCAAGGCCACAAGGCCACGCAGCTGCCAGGAGGGACTGGGAACATCACAGACCAGCGCCTCCTCCCTGCACCAAATCACCATAAGCTCTTCGAGGACAAGGGCTACCTGGTAGAAGTTTCCCAAATCCACAGGTGGGGACTTGGGGGAGGGTGGAATATGGGGTACTGCCTGCCAGTGACCACTCCCCCAGTCTGATCAAGCCCTCAGATGGTACTCACGGGGTCCAGTGTATCTGAGAGGCGTTAGGAGAAGAGGTCCCCAGGTCCAGGGGATGGCTGGGACCTCGAGGGTGGGACAGAGCTGGACCAGGGGTGCCAAGATTCTGAGGATTGACAGGAAGAAAGGGATGTCAGAGGCAGGAAGATGATGGATGAACCAAGAACACCGAGGGTCAGGAGCCCGGGCTGGCTTTGGGATTCCATCGAGAGCTCCCTGGGCCAGAGCTCGGTAGGATGAGGTTCCCCAGGCCAGGGTGGGGCTGCCATACTAGCTTCTGCCCTGTCACCCCACTCGTCTGTCCCAGGGCTGTCTGGGAAGGATTCCCAAGTGTGGACAAGTCACGGGGCTGGGGGATGGGGGGTGGGGAGGAGGTGGGCTCTCTGGTGGAGGCAGGCTACCTCACCTGGGTCTGGGGTCTAGGCTCCTGGGTGGAGAAGAAGCCAGTGCGGCGGGGGGAGGTCTGCCCTCCCCAGTCGGTGGGGTCAGCTGGGCTGCGCGGGGCTGAGGGGGAGCTGGGGTGATGGGCTGAACGGGCGGCAGCAGTCAGGCGGGGAGATGCGGGGAGCTGGGGGCCGTCGTCACAGAGCCGGAGCCGGGGTTCACGAGACACCTGCACGTAGCTGGCGGGGAATATGCCTTGGCGCCCCGTGCCCGTGATGCGCCCCTCGTACCAGTTCTCATTCACTTTGCGGATCAGGCAGATGTGCTCTCCCTGAGGGGGGAAAGTCAGTGTCTGTGGGGCTTTCCTGGTGCCATGCACCCACGGTGCCTTATCTGGGATGCATAGCAAGGTCCCTCCCCAGAGCTCCAATCACAGGTGAGCCCGTGGCTAATAATGCAGATCCAAACCCAGCTCCGCCAGGTCAAGCTGTGTGGCCTCAGGCAGGCTGCTCTGTCTCTCTGAGCCTTGTTTTCTCCTCCGTTAAGTGAAAATAACCATACTGTCACTATGAGGTGTGAATGAGATCAACAGTCCACTCCTTAGGCACAGGGGACAGGTGCTACCACTACTGCCCTGCCTGGGTCCTGTTCCTGCCTCACGCTGGGGGACCCTGTCATGAGTGTGTCAAAAACACACTCCCCAGGACAGGCAGGGAGTCCTCAAGGCCATAGGCTGGCTGACATTAGGTAGAACCACTCCCTGGGAGGGTGGCCTCCAGCCCTTGCCTTCCCCTGCTCTCTCCTGCCCCTGCCTCTCTCCATCCAGCCACCTTCTTCCCCCTCTGTCCCTGGGGCCAGCTCTTCTGGGTAGCATTCACTATGGTCTGTCTTTGGCTGATTTTGGAAGCATAGTCGCTGCTCCCCAAATCAACCAAAGGCAGACCACTTCTCTGCTTTCTAGAACAGCATTTTTCAAACTTGTTTCACCACAGTCCACAGTTAAAAAGATTTTAATAACAGCCCAGAATACATACATATGTGCGTACACAGAACTGCCTACAGTAGGATAAAGTGCTCTTCCTGCCCGCGACGCACGCTAACGTTTCTGTCTATACCTCTAAAAATGCTGAGTATGATCCACTGCAACCTGCAGTTGAAAATATATATAACTCTAGAAGTTTATGATGATCTTTTAAAAATGGACCAAAATTACTTGGGAGGCTGGGATAGGGGCAGGGGCAGGAGGATCGCCTGAGCCCAGGAGTTCAAGGCCAGCCCGGGCAACACAGTGAGACTCTGTCTCAAAAAAATGCAGAAAAAAATAAAAAAGACTACACTAAAGGAAGCATAATGAAAGAGACTGGGGAAAATTTTGAAATCCTAGGTGAAGCTAGGTACATCAGACTCTTTTTTAAAAAAGTGTTTTTAGGCCAGGTGCGATGGCTCACTCCTGTAATCCCAACACTTTAGGAGGCCAAGGTGGGTGAATTATGAGGTCAAGAGATTGAGACCATCCTGGCCAACACGGTGAAACCCCATCTCTACTAAAAATACAAAAATTAGCCGGGCGTGGTGGCGGGCATCTGTAGTCCCAGCTACTCTGGAGGCTGAGGCGGGAGAACTGCTTGAACCCAGGAGGCAGAGGTTGCAGTGAGCCGAGATGGCGCCACTGCACTCCAGCCTGGCGACAGAGCAAAACTCTGTCTCAAAAAGAAAAAAAAAATGTGTTTTTAGTGCACATATTTACCTACACCTTCGCCTGCCCCGACCCACCCCACCATCTCCTGCCTGGCCCACCTTGCGGAAGGACAGCTCCACCTCCAGGTCCCCCTTGAAGGTGTACTGGGCCACAGCCTCTCCATACTCCAGCACCTGGTAGGTCGGGGGCTTGATGGGCTTGGGGATCTCATCTGCAGGCAGCACCTGCATGAAGAAAGGTCATGAGAAAGATTTGGCCTTGGCATCAACATAGCACAGACTGGGGGTTCCTGTGAGACAGCAAAGAGAAGGTGGGCCTGCCCCTTGGCAGAGAAAGATATAAACACCAGAAATAAGCCCTGAGGGCAGCCAGGGGTGGCCACAGCCAAGGGGAGCTGGAGGACGGGGAGGAGTCTGGGAAGGCTCCCCGGAAGAAACATTTTCCATAGGGGTATGTGGAGTGGGCATTACTGAATGAAAAACACCAAGAGAAAAGATGGAAGCCAGTCCGATTAGAGAGTTTAAGTTGGACCACAGAAGAAAATGAGGCATTCCAAGCAGCAGGGAGAACTTGGGGAACTGTTCCAAAACTGAGGATTCACCCTTTTCTCACTGCCGAGAACCGGGTGTCCCTGGGTTCCAGTGTCTTGGTTCCTCCTCCCCATCTACCCCAGCAGGAGCCCAGAATCCTCATGTTCTCTTTGCTTCACTCTGCCCATAAAAATCAAGCAGCCAATCAACTATTTCACACACAGACAGAAATGACTGGTGGAGTGAAATACTGTATATACTTTGTGAAATTTCAGGACCAAGTGGATTATTGGGCAGGCAAGGGAGGCCTAATGATATCTATCAAATCAAGAGCCTGAATTAAACAACAACCCAACTCATGGGTCAAAGAGGAAATCGCGAAGGAGATGAGAAAACAGAGTTGACGAAAAATTAACGTGTGAGACACAGCTAAAGCAGCATTCTGAGGGAAATGTATAGCATTGACATTCTTACATTAGGGAAAAATAAGCTTCAAATAATAGTCTAAACTTTCACCCCAAGAAACTTAGAAAAAGAACAAAGTAAACCTAAAGCAAGCAAAAATAAGGAAATAATAAAGAAGCAGAAATCAATGAAATTGAAAACAAAAACAAGAGAAAAACATCAATAAAATCCATAGGTCAAGTAAATTAATAAAGCTCTAGCCAGAATAAGAGAAGACACAGATTGCCAACATCAGGAATGAAAGAGAACATATCGGCCAGGCGCCGTGGCTCACACCTGTAATCCCAACACTTTGGGAGGCTGAGGTGGGTGGAACACCTGATGTCCGGAGTTCGAGACCAGCCTGGCCAACATATAGTGAAATCTCGTCTCTACTTAAAAAAATTACAAAAATTATCTGGGCGTGGTGGCGCACGCCTGTAGTCCCAGCTACTTGGGAAGCTGAGGCAGGAGAATCACTTGAACCCAGGAGGTGGAGGTTGCAGTGCACCAAGATCCCGCCACTGCACTCCAGCCTGGGTGAGAGCAAGACTCCATCTCTCAAAACAAAACAAAACAAAACAAAACAAAACAAAACGAAAGAAAGAGAAGACATCACTACATATTTTACTGACATTAAAACAATAGTAAGGGCCGGGCGCGGTGGCTCAAGCTGAATCCACACTTTGGAGGCGAACGGCGGATCACAGGTCAGAGATCGAGACCATCCTGGCAACACCGTGAAACCCGTCTCTACTAAAAATACAAAAACTAGCCGGCGAGGTGGCGGCCTGTATCCCAGCTACTCGGAGTGAGGCAGGAGAATGCGTAACCGGAGGGGAGCTTGCAGTAAGCTGAGATCCGGCACTGCACTCCAGCTGGGCGACAGGCAAGACTCTGTCTCAAAAAAAAAAAAAAAAAAAAAAAAAAAACAATAGTAAGAGACTATAATGAACATCTTTATGCCAGTAATTTGGATAACTTGACATAACTTAAAAGTCACCTATTGCCCTTTATCTGTCAAGCCCAGAACCTCTCTCTGGAATCAAAAGACCTGGATTCAGATTCTAGATCTTTTACCTAATAACTTGTCACTGAACCTTGGCATCCCCATCTGTAAAACAGAGATAAACTATCACTCTCTGAGAAGTGAGAGGAACCAGGGCAGTAATACACCTGAAAGAGGTTATGTGTGTATATGTGATTTATAAACTGTTGCATACTTCCCACTCTTGCTAGTTGCCATTAGGGTGATTCCCAAAGATAGCTTTAGAAAGATGGATCTGAATGGTGAAAGTCTGGGACACGGAGGGTTGAGGAGCTGGCTGCTGGGTCCTCCCCTTGGCTGGGCTCCACCCTCACTTAGCAAACATTTCCTGGGGTCATGCAGAGCACTGGGCCAGGCCCTGTGGGGGCCAAGGACAATACTGAGACATGGCCCAGCCCCTCACAGTTTTTTGCCTTAGGAAACCCAAGTCTCTCCCAACCCCTGCTTGCTCTTGTCCCTCCTGCTCACCTCCACATAATTAGCAGGGAAGATGCCTAGGCGGCCATGGTGCTCTCCCTCCAGCCAGTTCTTGTCCACCTCCTTGTGGATGTAGACAATGTCACCCTTCTGCAGAGTCAGCTCCCTGCAGGCGAGGACCGCATGGTAAGCTGAGGCCCTCCCAAGCCTCCTTCCCCTCAGACCCTCCCCAGTACACCTTATTCCTCTCACCAATTAGGGATGCCCACTGCAGCCCAGTCCCCCTCCCCATCCCGCTCTGGGATGGCAGAGACTGCCTCGGGTGGAAGGGGAGGGGGAGGAGGGCACTTACTTGGGAGACTGCGCCTGGAAGTCAAACTTGAGCCTGGCGGCCTTCCTCTAGGCAGGGGAGAGGACAGAGTGGGCTACCTCAGTCGGGCGGGTGGCAGATCCAGGATGGTAGCCTTGGGACCACTCCAGGTCCCCCACACCCTGGTCCCCTCCTTACCTTCTTCTCTTCCCTCCTGGCTGGGCTGATCCCTCCGTCAGAGGCACTAGGGTCTGTGGAGAAGCACAACCTCAGTTTGGGGAGGCCAACCTGGCGGATGGGGTTGGAATGGGGTTGCACCCCCACCTAGGGCAGGCACTGGCAGAAGCAAGGGGCTCTGTGACCTGCCACCCCTGGGGCACCAGCATGCCTGGTGGGTGGGCATCTCCGTGAGAAACAGAGCACGGCTGGGTCCTTACCTCGGGTTGAGGAAGGGTAGACAAAGTCCCTCCGACCTAGAAAGGGGCTTCCTCCATCAGCCATTCTGCGGGGGCTCAGGGACCGGGCGGAACCCAGGTAAGGTGCATTCGGAGAGCTGAAGCTCCAGGCTGAGGCCGGGCTGCACGGGGCACAGAGACTGAGCCTCCAGCCTGGGGCTCCGCGTCCCACCTTGGTCACCCCTAGACCGCTCTGACCCCCATCGCCCCTATCCCTGCCGCCTCCTCCCAGGGCGTCTCCCGGGTCCTGGGCTCTCCACAGGATGTCCAACTTCCCGAGTCGCTGCGCCGGGAAGGGTGAGGCCCGGCAGGGCCCAGCGGGAGTGCCTGGGCCGTGGCGGGGCCGCCCCAACCGCGCCGCGTCCCCGGCGGCCGCGACCCTCGCCCTCCGCTCGGGGTTAGCTGCCCTCGGTGGCGCGGGGACGGCATCCCGCAGAGAGTGGCGCTGCGGTCCCTCCCGGACACTGGGCTCTGCGGTTCCCTCCTCCCCTGACTAGGCCCCGCGATCGCCCCGTCCGCCCCGCCCGGCCGCGCCACGTTCCCTCCCGCCGGCCCGGGACAGCCCCCTTCCTCCTCCCGCGTCTCCCACTCACCCGGCCGGGGGCCGCTGCTCCGGGGCCCGCCGGGGCGCAGGCGAGCTCTGTGCGGGGAGACGGCGCAATCAGGGCCCGCGACCCCGGGACCCAGCGGCAGTCGAGGCCGCCGCCTCCGGAAAAGTTCGCGGCTCGGGAGGGGAGGAGAGCGGGCGGGACGCGGGGTCCTAGAGGCGCCCGCGCGGCCGATCCCGGAGCGGGGCGGGAACTAGGGGAAGGGGCGGGGGTCCCCGAGGCTGCGGCCCGGGGGCGGGACGGGGCGGGAGCCCGGGCGTCGGGCTGACGTGGAGTCCGCTTAGAAAGGCTCCTCGGGGTCACTTGCGAAAGTCGACGCCCTGTATTTTATTTATGGAGGAGCGAGCCCGCCAGCGCCCAGGAGGGCCCGAGGCCTGTGCGCGCCGCCGGAGGCCTGACCTCGTCTGCCCGTCCTTCGCCCAGCCCAGCCGCCAAGGCTCCCGGCCCGCCCCGACCGTGCGGTCAACGGCGTGCCCCGCGGGTGAACCCAAGGGGCTGGCACCTTGGGGGACGGCAGTCGGGTCTCAATTGCCCGTAGGTCCTTGTCCAGCTCGGCACTCAGCTTGGCCAGCTCTCTCTCCAGCAGCACCTGGGGGCGGGGAGAGGCTGGGCAGTGAGGGGCAGCGCACGGTGGGGGTGGGGGCAGCGGTCAAAGGTCGGCTGTGAGAAGCCAGGCCGGCGCACTGGGCCGGCGTAAGGACAGGCCTCAGCGCACGGGCCGGGCTCCTGCCGGGAGGTGTGGCCCGGGGTGCCAAGAGGGCATCCCCGCCGCGGCCTCTCACCTGCCCTGCAAGCCCCCGGAGTGCCTTCGCGCTTCCTGATCCCGCCATTCCGCAGCTCTACCAGTTTCTGCCAAGTTATGTCACTCTTCCAGCACCAATGGGGCTCCCCATTTCCTCTCCCATCTTCTCCCGCCCTCCAAGGCCTGGCTTCGCTGTGCCCATCCAGGTTCCCCCGCCACCCCAGGGACTGGCGCCCCCACCCTCACGCTGCTTCCTGCCAGCCTCTGCTATGGGTCTCCGCCGGATCAGGCCCTCAGAGCTTCTCAAGGGTCCAGCTCCACCTCCAAGAATACTTCCTGATAATCCCAGTGCACACTGACCACTCCCTTCTCTGCTCCTGCTTTGGCCAACACATTTATTTAACGCATGTTTACTGAGCGCCTCCTGTATGCCAGCCACTGTCCCGAGTGCTGGCGTTACAGAAATAAACCATGTGGGACTGGAGAGAGAGCTCTTAGTTGGTGGCCTATGCCCATGGTCACTGGGGCGGGGAAAACCCTAATCTCCCTGGTTTATCAGGCTGCTGTCCCCAGCACCCTGCAGCACTCACCTCAATGGGCTGGGAGGGCTTCTCACCAGGGTCGTCCACCAGCGGTTTCTTGGGCTGAAGGGTAGAAAGGGTGTGTCAGAGCAGGTGAGCTCACTTTCCAAAATGTATCAGCTGAGGGTGCGTGCACACCCCGAGAGCCAGCCAGCACTCACCCTCTGCCCAGTCTCTAGTTCCTGCAGAAACTGGTTCCACGACTCTTCTGTCCAGACATTGTCTCCTTTTTCTCGGCGTCTGGGCACCTGCGTGGAGGTGGGTGGGCGTCAGCTTGTGAAGAGGGCTACTGGGACACTGGCCAGGCTCAAAATGCAGGCTTGCAGGCCCCTGCCCTTCCCGTGGGCCCACGGTGTCCTCCAAGGAATGCCAGCTGAAAGGACATCGTGGCACAGGGGCTTGGCCATACAGCATACAGCCGGGGCTGACCAGGGAACACGCTGGGTGGGCTACCTGATTTGGGGGCTGCAGCACAGTGGAGAACGCTCCAGGTCTGTAGCTGAAGGTGCTTCTAGGTAACTCTTCAGAGTGGTCCCAGCTTCTTCTGAAGAAAGGGAAGGACATCTCTTCAGCTTCCTTTTAGGGAGACTGAGGCAGAAGCCAGCACACAGCCCTCTCGCCCTGCCCTTGTCCCTGCTGTGGGGTCTGCTCTGCCTCTGACTGCCCTGCCCTTACTCTGGAAGCAAGGCTAAACTGTGGAAGTATGTGAGCTCCAAGCTTAAATTCTAGCTCCATTGTTTAGTGGATGTGTGACCTTTGAACAAGTTACTGATCCCTCAGAGCCTCAGGCTCAGAACCTGTAATATAGAAATGATTTGGTGACAGAACATGTGTGAGGTGCCCGGGAGAAGGCCTCACACATATATTTGCTCCAGGTGTGGCCCGACCCTCTCCTGCGGGCCATTTTGCTAAATCCTGCACGTGTGTTTGGTCTGGCCCCATGACTGTGGCTATGTGCATCTGTTCAGCTTTGAAGAAGCTGGTCTTTCTGGGTGCTGTGGCTGAGTGATCGTACACCCACGGGCAAGGAAAGCCAGAGGCAGCCCTGCCCTGCAGCTCTGGGCAAGTTATTTCTGCTCGCTGGGCCTAGTTCCATGAGGGTGCTGGATTCAGTGACTCCATCTGTGAGACTACCCCAGCCACTGCAGTACAGCATGGTCACATCTGCCTTAGCTCCCCTCCAGGGCCCCATTCCTGGCTGGCTTACATGGAACGTTCCAGTCTCTGTTTGAAAGTTTCCACCGAGAGGAACCGCTGCATCCGGCTTATCAAATAATGCAATGTCTGACCAAGGGTTGGGATTTGTTGGCTGTAATTATGACTCCATTCTGATTTTGGTAATAATAAAAGTGACGGTGAGAATGGAATGTGTCATTCCTAACCTAAGGAAGCTGTAATCATAATTAAGCCTGTATATTACTAATGTTGTGCAGACTTGCTATGTGCAAAACATGATGCATGATACATACATGATCACACTGAACCCTCTGGGCATCACCACTTAACAGATGGGGACACAGAGGCTCAGATTGAGTGAGGTGCCCACAGTCACATGGCTAGTGGCAGTGCACAGGCTTAAACCCAGAACTCAGTGTCCAAATCTTGAGCCCTTTGCCTCTGAACCTTATCAGTGTTGCCCAGAGCCACAGGCCAGTTTCAGCCATGCTAATGAGATGAGTCCCTCCCTGCAAGGGAATAAGAAACTCAAGGATTTAACTCTGAGAGCAAAGATCCTGATTCCCACGGTGGTGCTGACGCCGCCAGGGCCCCCGCAGCCCGGCGGGGCCTGTGGTTTGTACAGAGGAAAGGAATGTCATCCTTATCCCTCCAAGGGGCTCCTCTCTCTGTGCTATCAGGCAGGAACTTGGGTACTTCCATATCCCCTGTTTTCTCTCAGGTTTCAAAGAGGACAGCCCCAGGTCCAAGTTCCCCTCAACAGTTCTGTCCATGGCTGCCCTGGCCGCCCCGCTCCCTGTGTCACAAGACCGGTGGGATCTTTGGGGCAAGAGTTCCTGCTGCTGACCACAAACGCATCACAGGTGTTCCTGACCAGGAGCGGGTGCCAGGTCCACTCCTGCCCTCCCATCCCCTTTGGCCCTGTAGGGAAGAGAGTCTATGGGGGTGGTGGAGACCCAGAGATGGGACAGAGCCCAGAAGGATAGGAAAGTCAGACCCCACTGCCGGCTGCTGCTCCGAGGCTGTGCCGGCTGTGGCCACGAGGGGGCGCCCATCCCATGGGGGCTCACGGGCCGCGCCTCTCCGCAGCCCTCGGCCCCTCCCCACTATGCTCACCCACTGGAAGATGCTGCCGGGCCGGGCCTGTGGGCAGGTCTTTGCTGGGCTCCTAGATGCCTGGGGTCTGCAGAGGAGGTACACGAGGAAACCATTGAAGGTGGGAGGAGACAGGCCGGAACTGGGGCTGAGGGTGCCTGGGTGATCATTTAGGGTTTCAGCACCACCCCCTTGCTCCTGGGTGGATGGTGGGGACAGGGTGGTTGGTGCTCAGGGACACTGAACGTGGGCGTTGCCCCCAGAACTTTACAACGTTTACTAAATCTTCAAAGCAACTCCGGTAGGTGATGATCTCATCTTATAGATGAGGAAAGGGAGGCCCAGAGAAATCCCGGCCAAGGAGTGGCAAGGCGCCCATTCCCGGTACAAGCTGAGGCTGTTAACTACCACCTACCGGGGGATTTGAAGTGCTCTGGAAATGAGTTATAAAAACCTCTCAAGTTGAACGGAGCCAACTGGAAAGCCCCAAAGCCAGGCGGGGCTGCAGGTCCCAGCCGCAGGGAGGGACGGACACAGGTGCAGAGCTATGGCAGGCAGGTGGGCCCGCATCCACTCACCTCTGGGTGGCTCCTCGAAGGTCCAGTCCAGCTGCAGGTCTGCAGGAGCAAAAGGGACCAGGTCATGGGACGGGGCAGAAAGCGAGGGCAGGGTGCCCTGGGAGGCAACCACAGCCGCTCCCAACATCCCTAGAGCAGGGGGCTGAGGGCTGAGTCAGGGCCTGAAGAATGTCCCAAGGGAGGGAAGGAATTAGGAGGGCAGCTCTCTGGAGGGCTTGAAATGCCTCTGGCAGGCTTAGGGCCTAAGCGAGCCAAGAGGGCAGCCGCCTTGCCCCAGCCCTCCTGCTCCTCCCTCCCCGTTCCCACACACACCCTCTCCCGACCTTTGTGGACTTGCCCTCGCCACTCAGGCTGGGGAAACTCGACTTGCACCCTCTTCCAAACGCTTTCCTTCCCCATTTGCCCAGACCCACTCCTAGCTCCTCAAGGTGCTTGGGAATTTCTTCCTGGGAAGAGCTACTGACCCACTGCTCCCCACGGCGCGCGCACGCGCACACACACGCTACAACGGCGCCTGCCTAAACGCCAGCCACATCACCCCTCACTGGACCCCACACCCTCCTCCGACTCCTGGATTTGTCTGCTTTCCCCCATAGCAAACTGTAATCAGTGAGCATAAAGACCTCCACCATCTCCAATCCCCCTACTCCCCGTCTCCCTAAACAGACTTCTGCTCACCACGGCGCATCTACCCACTCTTATCAAGGATGCTGGTGACCTCCTCGTTGCCAAATCTGACGGTCAATTCTGTCTTCATCTTACTCAACCCATCAGCTGCATTTGTCACCACCGGTCACATTCTCCTTTTGGAATTCCCTTTCCACTTGGCCCCAGGGAGATCTCTCTGTTTTCCTCCTGCCTCCCTGGCTCTACCTTCTCAGTTGCCTTATTGGTTCCGCCTCATTTCTCAAACTTCTAAGCATCCAGGTGCGTGGGGGCTCAGTCCTGGGTCTGTTTGTCTCTCTATCTCCCTAGGTGATCTTGTCTAGACTTATGGATTGTTGTTTTCCAGAGATGGGATCATGCTATGTTGCCCAAGGTGGACTTGAATTCCTCAGCCTCCCAAATAGCTGAGACCATAGCTGTGTGCCACCGCACCCAGCTAGTCTTAAGGCTTTTAAAACACCATCTATTCCCATGATTCACAATCTTGGCTGCACACTAGAATTACTGGGGAAACTTTAAATCAAAATCTCTCTTTTTTTTTTTTGAGACTGAGTCGCCCATGCTGGAGTGCTGTGGGGTGATCTCAGCTCACTGCAACCTCTACCTTCAAGCAATTATCCTGCCTTAGCCTCCGGAGTGGCTAGGATTACAGGTGCACACCACCACTCCCAGCTAATTTTGGTATTTTTGATAGAGACAGGGTTTCACCATGTTGGCCAGGCTGGTCCCAAAATCTCTTTTGAGTGAGTCCCAGGTATTTCCATCTGCAGTTTTAGACCTTGTCCCATGAACTAGACTTGGATATTCATCCGCTCACTCAATCTCTTCACTCAGAGGGAACACGTGTCTAAAACTGAACACCTCTTTTCTTTTTTTCTTTTTTTTGAGACAGAGTCTTGCTCTATCGCCCAGGCTGGAGTGAAGTGGCATGGTCTCAGCTCACTGCAATCTCCGCCTCCCAGGTTCAAGCAATTCTCCTGCCTCAGCTTCCCGAGTAGCTGGGATTACAGGTGCATGCTGCCACACCCGGCTAATTTTTTGTGTTTTTTTTAGTAGAGACAGGGTTTCACTGTGTTGCTCAGGCTGGTCTCGAACTCCTGAGCTCAGGCAATCCACCCACCTCAGCCTCCCAAACTGCTAGGATTACAGGCGTGAGCCACCGCGCCCAGCCTGTGAATGCCTCTTAAACCTGCTCCTCCTATAGTCTTTCCTGTTTTGACAAATGGCAACTCCCATCTTCAACTTGCTGAGGTTTAAACCATCCTTGACTGTCTCTTCCATGCCACGTCCAATCCATCAGCAAATTCCAGTGACTGCAATGTATTCATAGTCTCACCCTGTCCCACCAGGGCCACTGCTACCACCCTGGTCTAACACACGATTACCTCTCGCCTGGATTAAAGCAAAGTTGTAAAGGCGGCTTTTTCTCCCTAGCCCCTACCAGGCAAGGGAACTGGTCACCCTGCTTCCACCACTCCTTCCCCACCCCTCAGCCAGGCACAACCTTTTCAGCCATTACCTGTCAAAGCATGGCACTCTTCCGTTCAGTGGCTCCTCCTCATTTGCACCGTAAAAACTGAAGTCCTTGTAATGGCCCACGAGGCCCCACATGCCCTGACCCCACCACCTCTCTGACTCCATCTCCCACCACATGCTCCTCGCTCCAGGCCAGGCTCTCCTTGCCAGTCCAGAACATGCTTCTACCTCTGGGTCTTCGGAGCCCCCTTTGCTGGAATCCTCCCCCGAGCTCTGCCAGGCCGACTCCTTCACTCCCTCCGTGGTCTGATCAAACGCCACTTACAAGTGCCTTCCTGGCCCCTCCTGGGTGAAGCAGCAGCCTCCCTGCTTGGGGCACTCCCCTGGTCTGGCTTTATTTTTCCCTAGCCCTTTCCACCATCTGCCATGTCAAAGGTGTGTGTTTAATGTGTGACTTCCTTTGATCTTTGGCACCTACAGTAGTGCTCAGCACGTGGTCCATGCTCAATAGATGGTCAAGGACTCGCTGAATGGATGGGTGACCTCAGAGCCAGCTCCTAGGCACCCCCGGGGTTGGCTGCATTTTGAGTTGTGGAAGAAAACAATGCTTCCAGTAAGGGAATGACCACTAACAGTGGCATTCCAGCCTGGCAGGGAAATCAGAGAGGGACTTTAGGAAAGGAATGGTTTCTCAGTCCCCTCAAAGGACACTGGGGGACAGTGGCTGGTCAGTGTCCTTCTGGGGATGCTCTAGAGACCACTGCTGGCTCCGAGTACAGGGAGGGGATAGCCTATTTTCAGGACTACTCATTAGAGCCTCGGGGGAGGTGGAGAAGAACCCGTTGGGCAGCTAAGTCCCCTTTTCTTTCCCTGTCTCTCCAAGCCCCAGGGGCCAGAATCCACTTTGGCAGGGCGAGGACCCTGGAAGGGTATCTTACCTGGCATTTTCCGGTGAATCTGCTGGAACATTCTCCGGTACCAGTCTCTGGGGCTGTCAACACTCTGGGATCAGAAAATGCAAAGTCAGTTGTCCCTGCTTATTCACCCTCCCAATAGCAAGCCACCCAAAAGGACTCCCTAGTGAGTCCTTTCTCTGGCCACCCCTGAACCCCCGATAGGTGAGCTGGGGAATACTTCTCTTATGATCTCTTTAATAACAATAGCTTCATGTAACACATCCTATATAAGTAAGATACATGGCAAGAAGTCCATCGAAGTGTATGCAATAATGATGTTATGAGATTTGGGCAATTTACAGTTTTTCTCTTTGCTTTTCTTTATGTCTAGTGTTTCTACAAAGAACATTTTTCTTTTGGAGGGACACAGGGTCTCACTGTGTCACACAGGCTGGAGTGAAGTGGCATGATCATAGCTCACTGCAGCCTCCAATTCCTAGGCTCAAACAATCGTCCTGCCTCAGCCTCCTGAGTAGCTGGAACTACAGGTGTGCACCATCTTGCCTAACTAATTTTATTTTATTTTTTTAGAGACAGGGTCTCACTATGTTGCCCAGGCCGGTCTGGAACTTTTGGTTTCGAGTGATCCTCCTGCCTTGACCTCCCAAAGTGCTGGAATTACAGGCGTGAGTCACTGCACCTGGGCCAAAATTGATAGTAATAATGTAGGAGTGAGATGCGTGTTTCGCATCACCTGCTTCATTCAAGCCTCAAAACAGCCCTGGGAGGCAGGAAGGGTATGTTACCATCTCCAATTTCCAGATGAGAAAATGGAGCTGGCCGCTGGGCGCGGTGGCTCACGCTTGTAATCCCAGCACTTTGGGAGGCTGTGACGGGCGGATCACAAGGTCAGAAGATTGAGACCATCCTGGCTAACACGGTGAAACCCCGTCTCTACTAAAAATACAAAAAATTAGCCGGGCGTGGTGGTGTGCGCCTGTAGTCCCAGCTACTTGGGAGGCTGAGGCAGGAGAATGGTGTGAACCTCGGAGGCGGAGCTTGCAGTGAGCCGAGATTGCACCACTGCACTCCAGCCTGGGCAACAGAGCAAGACTCCGTCTCAGAAAAAAAAGAAAGAAAGAAAATGGAGCTAAGTCAAGACATGAAAGTGGATGGAAAAGGGCAGGGTATCCCCAGTCCTAACTGGACCCCCGGATCCTTCCACTCTTGCCACAGTGAGAGATCTTCTCAGACAAGACTCATTCATTCGGCCAGTCAGTCATTCATTCAGCAACCATTTCATGAGTGTGGTGACAGGCCCTGGGGATATGAAACTAAGAGAGGGTGCCCCGCAGCCTCAGCCCTTACAGCAGGGGTTCTCTACCTTTGAGACACTGATGGGAGTTCTAGATCTGTACCCTGCACAAACCACTTGAGCAACTCAGGCACACAAGGGTGTCCGTAGCTTCATGAGGTTTACGGCCCCTGAACTCCACCACGGTTGAACCCCTGCTTAGTCTGGGATGGTTTGGGTGTGGCCTTTATTGTCCCACCCCCACTTTAATGCACACAAGTCGAGCTTCCTGTAGATCCCTGGGCCCCATCTTTCTGTGGCCCCCAGCCCTGGACTTACGGATCTCGGGGCAATAGGCATTCCGCTCTCATCCACGGGCCCGATTCCCTCGTACTTGACCCAGCGCTTGTCCCGACGCTTGCTGTCCTTGGTCCACGTGGCTGACCAGTTCTGGGCATGCTGGGAGGCAGGGATCTTTGTGTTTGCAGAGGGCTTGCTCCCAGGGCCTGGCCACGTCTGATAACACGTGGGGTCTGTCGGGTGCGTGCAGGAGAGCATTAGTGAAAGGCAGTGGTCTCCACCTGAACCTGTGTGTCCCTTAGCTCCTCAGAGCATGGATCTCTGTGGGTTCAAAGTTTCAACATCGCCTAGTTTGTTTGAGTGGATGACTCAGTTTGTTTGTTTAAGTGAATTTAAATGGATTTTGAGAATGCTGTGCCTGGCCCTACCCCCATCCTTCTTTCCTGGGACTATCCTAAGTGCTTTCAGAATAAGGTCTGGAAATGATTACTTGTAGAGAATACAGGGGACATCCCAGCTGGGGTGTGGCAGTAAAGATGCTGGGCTTGGAGGGGACAGACTTGAATTCAGACCCCAGCTCTGCCACCTACTGGCTGCCAAGGCCTGGGGCACATCAGTCACCCTCGCAGTGTCTCAGTTTCCACTTCTGTAAAACAAGGCTCATCGTGACAAGGATTCAGTGACAACTAGTGTGTGTGTGACTGTACCCAGCACAGTGCCTGACCCACAGTCGAGAGGCTCTCAGTGAAGGTCAGAAACCCATTCCCTAGACGTGGTTGTGACTGAGTCCTCAACTTACCCATCACTGTTAGCCTCTAAGTAGCTAGGGCAGCAGTATAAAGGCTTTGAGACTAGATGGACAAGGGTGTGAATTGTAGCTCAGCCTCGGTGGCTGAACGTCTCTGTGGGCGGGATTCCTTACTGGGATGCTATCAGTCATCATCACCCCTACTTTGTCAGGATATCAAGGGGTTAAATGAGGTGAGCCTTGTAAAGGGTTTTTACAGTGGCCAGCATGCTCTGGGTGTTCCATAATTTTGTGGGTGTTTTTTGTTTGTTTGTTTGTTTGTTTTTGAGACGGAGTTTTGCTCTTGTTGCCCAGGCTGGAATTCAGTGGCATGATCCTAGCTCACTGCAACCTCCACCTCCCAGGTTCAAGCGATTCTACTGCCTCAACTTCCCAAATAGCTGGGATTTCAGGCGCCCACCACCACACCCAGCTAATTTTTGTATTTTTAGTAGAGACGGGGTTCCGCCATGTTGGCCAGGCTGGTCTTGAACTCCTGACCTCAGGTGATCCACCCACCTCGGCCTCCCAGTGTGTGTGTGTTTTAAGTGACAAGGTCTTGCTGTGTCACCCAGACTGACAGAGACAGGGTCTTGCTATGTTGCCCAGGCTGGATTCTTGTTTGTTAAATGAATAAATTCCTTTACACAGCACCTGTCTCATGGGAATGCTGCATAAAAGATGTCACTTTAGGAGAGACATATTCAGGGCTGGCCTGCACCCAGGAGTTCCCAGGACCTCTGGACCGGGACCTAGAGCTGCCTCTCTAAACTCCTGCTGGGCAGCCTGTTGGGCCTGAATGGGACAGTCTCCACCCTTTCCCAAGCCAACAGATACCCACATCACCTCCACCCTTCCATCCCCAGTCCCTGCAGGAGGTTCCCCCGGCGCCCAGGGCTCCTGCACACTTCCTTTCCCTGGCACTGGGCTGGAGGGCAGGAGAGGGGATGCGTCAGCCTGCTCTCCCCAGGCGGATGATGTCTCTTGCAGAGTCAGCAGGCTCCGCAGGGAGAGGCTTGCAGTGAGCCCAGAGGCCTCTGAGGAACCTCCTCATGGCCTCAAGAACCCCATCTCCCGCTGCTGCCCTTCTCGCTCCACACAAGGCAGTGCCAGATGGCAGGGCCCTGACCCTCCATCTCCAGCATGAGGCTCCTGAGCAGACCTACCCGGGTGCCGGGAAGCATCTTGTCTTGGTGTGTAGCAGCCATTGCACACAGTCCTGGGCGCGGGGTCGTGGAACTGGAAATTAAGGGTGTTGGAGCCACCATTCCGGATCACGGGCACCTGCGGGGAGGGGCCAGGAGCGGCAGCTCAGGGCCCAGCAGGGTGGGAGGGATGGCTACTAGGCACAGCCTATACCCCTCGGTGACGGTCCCAGGCCCACCTGACGATTTTGTGGGAAACCAGCGAGGCCCCCCAGAACTCTCTTCAGCCCTCCCTCCATCCCTTTCATCCTCTTGCCCCCACCTGACTAGCTAGCGTCCCAACCAACTCCGGACCCCCAAGACACCCTCCTTCCTACTGACTCACTCACCCGTGTCCCCCGGGAGGAAGACCCTATGTGGGACTGGAGGTGGCCAGGGATGAAGTCGTCCAGGCTGAGCCCGGCAGGGAGGCTTCGGGGTGGGCCCTGCATGCTTGGGTTAAGGTTGGAGGACTCAGGGCGAGCCAGCTGCTCCTCTGCGTGTCCTCTGTGGGGAAGGAGGAAGGAAGGGAAAGCCCTGCTAGGCCGGGCTGCCCATGCCCTCTTGGCTCGACCCTGGGATAGGGGAGGAGGGGCCGGCTGTGGGAGGGGGTCAGGATCAGCTGGGTGCGAGCTCAAGGACCCAGGAAACAGGCCACGCCAGGCACCCGCCTGCAGGCTGCCCGTGCCTGCCGGCTCTCAGAGGTACAATGGGCCACTTGTTACGCCCAGGGCAGGAGCTCTGGGTGGGAGTGGGGGAGGGGGAGCTTGGGTGAGGAGGAGGGGAGGGGCTGGCCAGGAGCCCGTGGGGCTCTCCCTGCACGGGTGCAGCCGGCTTCCCCACTCCCCCTGAGGGAAGGCGCAGGGGAACTGGGGCAGCTGGCAGAGCGGGGGCCTGGGCCAGGACTTTGTTTCAGTTCCCTCTGCCTCCCCCAGGCCCTGTGTGGGCATCTCTTGCCTGCGGCACAAGGGATTACTCAGCCACCCGCCCACTGCCCTCTAGGAAGCAGCCAGCAGGGCCTTAAGCCCGACAGGGCCACGGGGAGCATCGGGGGCATTTCCAGGCAGGAAGACCCACTCTTGCGAGGTCACAGGGAGCATCGGGCCCTTCTTTGGCCTCCTTCACAGAATGAGGACTCAGAGGGCTCTGGGTGGGTGTAGAGAGAAGCGGTGGGTGCGGGCAAAGCTGGACCTGCTCATGCCCACGGAGAGGTGGTGCTGAGTGCTCTGGGGTGTTCTGCATGTGGCCACGTGTGCACGCACATACACGCGCACCCTGGCTCCACTTTCTCCCGCCACTCCAGGCTGTTTTGTGAGTGGAGGGTCTTCCCTGGCAGCACCATGCCTGCCCGCAGCCAGCTTCTTCCGCCTCATGCCAAGGCTGGGGAAGGGGAAGGGAGCCCCAGGCACCCAGGGAATGGAGGAGCAAGAGGGGAGCCCAGAAGGGTGCGTGCAAGAGGACAAAAAGGGGCTCCCAGTTTGGGGTGTCCAAGCGCGCTTTTTGACCCAGAGCACTGTGCTGTGGTGTCCATCCCTCCTCATCTTGGCTGCCGGACTGGACCAGAAACAGGCAAGCTCTGCCACTGCCCAGGACTGGATGGAATCAGATTTGCCTGTGCCTGTGGGGCCCTTGGGGGCTCTCAGGGAGGGCTGCAAATGCATCAGGAGGAGCTGTGTGTGTATGTGTGTGTTGGAATCTGGGTGCAGAGCTGTGAATATGACTTCTGGGGGGGGCCACTGGGCAGACCACATGAGCTGCACGGGGGTTGTGGGTACAGAGGGGTGTCAGCTGAACAGTGGTGGGAGGTGCAGTCATATGAGCAGTGTAAGACTTGGGGGGCCCGGAGGGGATGAAGGTAGAATAAGGCTGGGATGACTCATTCCCTGGACCCAGCTCCTGCCCAGGGCTGGCGAGGTTGCAGCCAAGGCTGGGGGCAGCTCCTTGTCTCTGGTTTGAGTTTGTGGGGACTTCTGACATTCGAGTTGCTGCGACACAGCTCTTCTGTGCCCATGCCTGACTGCGGGAAGTGGAGGGCTGAGGCTGGAGGAGGAGCAGCTCCCCAGCTGGGTCCAATTAGGACTCCCACCAAAGCAAAACATGCAGACACACCCCAGTCCCCACACTCCACCTCCTCTTGCAGGGGGAAGTTGAGGCAGGGTGGGGTGGAACCTCAGGAGGCCTGGAGCCCGCCTGCTCCTCGCAGCGCCCCTCCCTGTCCAGCTGACTGCTTCGGGCCAAGTTGCCGGTCAGCAGCGGCTGCCTGGGCCATCAGCTGACAGCGCCTTCCTTCCCTGACCTCCCCGCCCACCTCGTGCTCAGTGAGAACTGCTCTCTTGGAGGATGGGCAGGGGAGGAGGTCCCCCACGACCTGTAGTCAGAGGTTGCTGACCCTTGGTGCCCCCATCTGCCCCTTCTCAACCCTGCTCCCTGTGACATCCCCCCCGGAACCTCCAGGGAAGGGTGGTCCGAGTTCTTCTCTTGGCAGCCTGGTCAGGAGACTTACGGAGGACTTCCAAGGAAGAGGGTAGCATCTGGGGACTTGTCCCCCATGTAGCAGAGAGCGGAGGGGTCCTCCCAGAATTCAGGCCGCCCCTCCACGCAGGCAGCCAGCCCCGGGAGCGGGCGAGGTCCCGGGATCGGGAGAGGGGAGGCAGCCCTGCTGGGGCAGACACCGGCTTTCCTGCTCTGAACACTGCCCTGGTCTTGGGGGCCTGGCCCTAAGCGCTTACCCAGGTATTTCTCAGCCACAAGGCCACGTGTACAAGGACAGGTTTCTTGAATTTCGCTTTTTCTGGTATGAGGGCTGATGGGGGGTACTTCCCACCTCTTCCCAGAGTTTGGGACGCGGACCCCAGGGAGGGACTCGGTGAGGTTCCCTGGGGTTGGGCATGGGTCCCTCCCGCGGCCTCGCCTACTCCCCGCCCCTCCTTCCCCGGACCTACCTTCCCCGGCAAGCAGGTGGCTGGGCCCGAGGCCGTCCGGGAGCGCAGGAGCATCCCTGCCCGGCTGCTGCCTGGCGCGGGCGCTCGGGGAAGAAGGGCAGGGAGAAGCGCGGGCCGTCGCGGCCCTCGTGACCGGGTCAGGACGGGCCGGGCCAGGCTGGGCGCCCGACAAGGAAGAGGGAGGCCGAGGGGGTGCGCGCTGGAGGCAGGACCGTGAGAGTCGCGCGGCGGGGCGGGCGGAGTTTGGGTCTCGGCTCTGGACTGCGGGCCGGGGCTGGGCCGGAGAGGAGGGGCGTGCGAGTGCCCTCCGTCCGTCGGGGAGCGCGCGGGGACACTGGTCCCCTGCAGAGGAGGCCGGGCCGGCGGGGAGGCGGCGCCGGGAGGGGCCGCCGAGGGTCCCCGGGGAGCTCTCTCTGGTTTCCCAGCTGCCATCCCGGCCCCTACCGCGGGGCTGGCGTCTGGGAGGGGTCGGGCGGCCCGACGCGGGCCACTCAGAGTTTCCAGCGACATTTCCAGAGTGTGGGAAGCGAGCGGCCGCGCGGCGGAGCCAGGACAGGGGGCAGGAGTGGTGAACCGGGCGGAGCCCGGACAAGGGGGCAGGAGTGGTGAACTGGGCAGGCCGGGGGAGGCGGACAGGCCGGGAGCGAGATGAGGGCGCCCCGCGGGCAGAGTGTCAGAGTTGACCAGGGGAAGGCCCCGCCGCCCGTCGGCGCTGGGGGAGAGGGTGTGCCTGCGGCGGCGCGCGGCCGGGCGTGTGCAAACAAACAGGCGCGCGTGCACTGCAAACGTGGGGACACTCACACACGTGCAAGCACAGGGAGGAAATCAGCCCAAGGGAGCGGCCCCCCTGGGCGTGCCGCGCCCTTAGAGAGGATAAGGGTGGGGTCTCTTTTTCGGGGATGGGATTAGGAGGGTCTTGGTGTTCCCGGACCTTGTGTTTGTTTTGATCTGCCTGCTTTTCCGCTGTTCTCGCTGCTCTGAGCTGAGTCCCTAGAGCCCCGGCCCTCTTGCTCCCCATCCACTCTGGCCATCCCCTCTCCCTGTCTCTGCCCCGAACCTCTGTGTGGCACAGGGCCTGCTTCAGAAAGTGGGAATGCCTAAGGAGCATTGACCGGCCTGGAAACACTCTGGAATCCTTTCTAGCCCTTGGGTTGGCTCAGGGATCCCCAAGCCCCAAACCAACCAACCAGCAAATAGTTGCTGATCAACTTTAGATAGGAGCTGGGCGTGATCAATGCTAAATTATGAAAACAAATGTCATCTCCTGCATTCCTACTGGGTGTCAGACTGGTGCCAGAGGCCACCAAGAGCTTTGGAGTGTTTTCCAAACTCACCGCTCAACTCAAAGGTTGGAAGGAAAGAGAGTGGAGAAAAGACTAAGCGATTTTCAGTCCCTACCACCATTACTGCTTTAGTCTTATCTTCTCCCTCCTTCAGGTAAAGGAGCTCTCCCCAGTTGCCTTGAAAGGACATCACACGTGAAAGCTGGAGGAGATGTTTGGGTTGAGAAGCTTCAGATAGGCCTGCTGGCCTCTTGCGCCTGCGGGGCTGCCATGTAGACACAGACAGCCGCACCAGCAGCAGTGGGACCATTGGGGGACACATCATAGGGAAGCAAGTCCAAGGCTTCCCAGGAAACATTTTTACATGATTCCAGGGGTTCTGAGTCTGCCAATCCTGGGGCATCTATGTAAAGGCAACTGTCGCACTGAGCGGGAGCTGAACAAGATGACCTTCAAGACTCCTTCCAGGAACCTGCCTCTCCAGGAAGGTGGAGAGATGGGGATTGCGGGGCACTGCTGTGGAGGACAGCTGAGCAGGGGAGGAACCCTGGGACACTTCTTGAGGGAGGCAGCAGTGCACTGCCCCTCCCCTGAAGCTTAGATACCTGCTTACCCACCCCAGGTAGCCTCTTCCCTCCCTCAGGGATAAAATAGGTGCCCATTTTCTTAGACACGCATTTTTCCCACCTGTCAGGGTCCTTGGGACTAAGAAGGACCACATCACTTTCACTTTCTTCCTTCTTCTCCCAAGATGGTGAAGCTGAAGCTCTTCCGACTCCAGGAATCCTGGCCATACCCCCTCACCAGCAGCAAGCTTCTCTTATTCTCTAGGGCTCTGACCTGGACTCCAAGATAAATATTTAGTGTAGAGGGTGCAGCTGAGCTGACAAAATTCCCCACTTCCTGTTTCTCACAAAGGGAGGTGGCAGCCATGGGCAAGGAGCTGGGGACTGGCCACCAGTTTCATCTCTATGGGAATCGGGACTTGAGTAAACAGCTTTGTAGGAGGAGGCGGGGTAGGTCTACGGGAGACCTGAGCTTTCTTCCTGAGCCGCTTTGATTTCTGCCTGTCTGCTTAGGCCTGGGCTCTGCCAGGTTTATCACCTCTCTCAGGTCAGAATCCACCGTGTTCCGTGGTGCCCATCTGGCCTCACAGCCGAGAAGATGGGAGACAGAGGGCCACAGAGCAGGGAAAACATAAGGAAATTTGACTGATTCCTCCCTTTCTGCCCTTATCTAAAGAGAATAATTCGTTCTCTTTGAAAAGTAGATTAAGGGGGGAAAGGTAGCAAGGTTTGGAGATTGAGCCAGGAACCAGGTGTCAGATTTCCCGCCTCCCTCTAGCTCAGCTTCCCTTGCTACCTCCACAGCTGGCATGGTTAGGGAGAGGCTAAGGCTGGGAAGATGGTCCTAGATAAGGCGGCTGGCCAGCTGGCTGTCAACAACACAACAGATTCCTTTCCTTTCCAAATCCCACTGCACTCTCCCCTTTGCAAGCACGACTCCCCTGTCTAAGAGGGACCTCCCTCCCTGTGAGTCGCCGCTTCCCCACCTCTGGCACTGCCCTTTGTCGGGGGCTGCCTCTGCCTTCTCAGAGCCACCTGAGCCACAGTAAACAGAGTTATGTAACTGCCCTGTTTTCCCAGCTACCTGATCCCAGGCACCAGTATCCCCCGCTCAAGCCCTTGAGGCTGCACCTTTTGTTCTGTGGGTAGTCCCCAACATCACCATCAACAGGGGTCTGTCCACATCCCCTGCCCCCCATCCCCCGCCTGCAGGGGAGGATGAGCCAGGGGACTACCAGTAAATGTGGCTCTTCACAGGGAGGGGGAGAAGGTGGTGGAATGCAGGTCACTCTGAAAAGCAACCTCTGTCACCAAGGATGACAGATGAGGGGAAAGAGCACTGAAGTGAAGGCGGGGTGAGCGGGGTGGGCAGAGCACCCAGTTTTAGTTCTCAAGTGGGAAGAGGGAAGCCAGGGGTCCCAGAAGACATGAACCCGGACTCAGTTCTTGAGAAGCACCTTGCTCTGGTGCTTGGAATCGGCAATTCAGATGAGTCACCCTCTGAGATCTACCCTGGACAGTTAGGCGGCCCTAGCTCTGTGCCTCGGTACTCCCATGGAGATACAGGGCATCTGCTCTTCCTTTCTTCTCCTCCCCAGGGATGAACTTCAGGTGCTTTGAGTAGATTTTTTTGGGGGTTTTGCTCTCAGAATTCTGAGTGTTTTCTTCCTTCCTCTAAGCTGAGCAGTTAGACCAGAAGGGGTTAGCACAGAAAGCACTGCCCGTTTCCAGCAGTTTGGACTTCTCTAGAAGGCCACAGTGACACAATGGTGAGGAATTGAAACCAAGTCACATGGACACACCAGCAAGAATCTGGACTATGTTTCATCCCCTGGGCTCCATTCCTTTCTCCTGGGTCCTCTCTTGATTCCTGCTCCTGCAAATGTTGCCAGCCAAGTTCTACTGATGGCCCTTTCCATGCCAACCACTCATGGGAACAGGAGCAGGCAGAAGAAGAGAGTGCAAATGACCCATTTTGGGGCTTCAAAGGGCCTTCTATGCTGACAATGGCATGACCTGGCTCATCTGGAATTCAAGATTTCTGGTAGACTCACTGTATACAGAGTGAGGGATCTGGGGGGCGGGAAATGCCCAGTACAGGTCAAGTATGGTGGGTGTTGGAGCCTGGCAGCCAGGTTAGGTGCATGGAACCCCATAGGAATAGAGAATGAGGCTCTCAGGCTTGTCTGGCACAGACCTTTCCATAGCACATGCATGATGTAATAGGCATCTATTCTGGGTTCTCAGGGCCAGTCTCCCAAAGGCTGCGGGAGAACTCAGCCGTTTGCCCAATTTATCCCTCCTGTCCTCAAGGAAGTTTTGATGCTGACATCACATCCACGGCTGTTCTCTCTTCCTCCTTTCATGGATGAGAAAATAAGCACAATGCACAGATGGGGTGTCTTTGAGAAGAACTGAGCTGGGTGAACCTCTCTTAGTTCTCAGGAAAGATGAAACAAACAAGTGGCTGTCAGCTCTAGAAAGTCGATTTTATAAGGGAAGGATAAATAAGTGATGACCTCAGAAGGAAAACCTAGCCAAGTCAACTCAGCCACAAAGGAGGGCACAGACCCAGGAGCTGGGAAATTAGGTCTGCATCAGCCTTCTTTCCCAGCTCAGGTAGACTGCGATGGGTAGGATAAGAGGGCTGATCTGCTGGCCCAGTGGATACCATCAGGTACGGCTCTGGCCTCCAAACAAAGAATAACCTTGTCTTCCCGCCTCCTTGAATTCTATGATTAACCTTCTCCTTAACAGCATCAACATTAAAAAAGTCTGCTTCATTTACCATTAAATTATTCATCCACTGTATCAAAATTACATTTTCTTTCTAAAGCCTGAAAGCTGTAATTTAAAAAAAAAAAAAAAAAAAAAAAAGGCAAGATCATGCAATTACATGCAGCAGGCAACAAAGTGAGGAGCAGATCTAGATGGAACAACAGGTTAATATGAATTTGCACTGAAGTCCTTCATTTCCAGGCTATTTAAAATCTTTCCACAATTCCAGAAATATGGGCAAATCTTACCTAATTTTACTGAAGGTTTAGCTAAGGTGTAGGGACATTGCTACATCAGGATGCCATTGGGATAACAAAGAACGCAATGCATACTCATCTTATTGGAAATTAGAAACCTGGGCCTGTGGCCGGGAGGGTGGCTCAAGCCTGTAATCCCAGCACTTTGGGAGGCCAAGACAGGCAGATCACAAGGTCAGGAGATCGAGACCATCCTGGCTAACCCGGTGAAACCCCATCTCTACTAAAAAAAAAAAAATACAAAAAACTAGCCGGGTGAGGTGGTGGGCACCTATAGTCCCAGCTATTCGGGAGGCTGAGGCAGGGGAATGGCGTTAACCCGAACGGCGGAGCTTGCAGTGAGCTGAGATCTGGCCACTGCACTCCAGTCTGGGCGACAGAGCGAGACTCCGTCTCAAAAAAAAAGGAAACCTGGGCCTGTTTTCTGGCCTGTAAACTGCACTGTGGCCCTTAACGTGGCTGTATTTAGTGTAAAAGTCATCTCACTGGGGCCTGGCACTGCTGGATTTAGCCCTTCTACCTGTACTGCCATAACCTGTAGAGTCCCGTCACTGACACACTGTACTCTCCAGGGCCCCGGCTTTCTGTATCCCCAATTCCCCACTTGCGCAGGGGAGCTTGTTTTTCCTTGTGAATCCACAGCACCTCATATTTCTACTTTTCAGAGGAATGAAAAGGCTAGTCTGACACTTCCCGTTCTTGGTAGGCCAGCTCCACGTTCAAATCCTCTTTGGCTGCCTTGACTTCTCCAAGATGGAATTCACCATGTCTATTATTAGGATCACATGCACGGTCATTAAATTACAAGAATACAAAACTGTTTTTATCCTTGGTAAAGAATGTATGTTTCGGCCGGGCGCGGTGGCTCAAGCCTGTAATCCCAGCACTTTGGGAGGCCGAGACGGGCGGATCACGAGGTCAGGAGATCAAGACCATCCTGGCTAACACGGTGAAACCCCATCTCTACTAAAAAATACAAAAAAAAACTAGCCGGGCGAGGTGGCGGGCGCCTGTAGTCCCAGCTACTCGGGAGGCTGAGGCAGGAGAATGGCGTAAACCCAGGAGGTGGAGCTTGCAGTGAGCTGAGATCCGGCCACTGCACTCCAGCCTGGGCGACAGAGCCAGACTCCCTCTCAAAAAAAAAAAAAAAAAAAGAATGTATGTTTTCTGGGATGTCTTTATTCCTTTTCTTCAAGTAGCAGACTCTATTGGAGAAGCTGCAGAGGGGGCTGGGACTTGAGCAAGAAGGAGGCCAGGGTTGGGGAGTGGATTCTGAGTTGGGAGACACAGAAACACGTTGTGGCCACCATAGCTGCTTTAAAACGAAAGGGCTGGAGAGAGGAAAGAAAGAGGTCCTTTTTATTGCGATGGGATTCCCTCCCTTGGGAGGAGAATTCCTTGGCATCGTCAGAGACCAGATATCAAAAGCCAGGCTTTCTCCTGGCCTCTGGAATTGTTAAATGAGTAAAGGCCAAATATAAGTACCTCCACCAGAAAATACAGGAAATAAAGACACAGGGAGCCAATACAGTTTTCATTTAATTTTAAGGGTGTTTTCTTCTTTTTTTAAAATCTTAAGATGACCTCTAATTTATAGTCAAAAGTCCTAACAAATTAATTTCTTGTTCACAAAAAAGACATTAGATGATTTCGGCCAATAAGCAACATTTCCCCCACTTTCTTCAACATAACTGAAAGCAAGAAAAAGTAGGCAATCTCTAAGCACAAGCAAATAATCCATCATTCAGAAGAACCTTGAAAAACACATCACACCACCAGTTAGTCTGACATCTGACCACCTCACCATTTAGGAAGGAATACTGGGACCCCTTCTTGGAAAATGTCTGCTGACAGATCTATTGGAAAAAAACAGCGATTGGGGTCACCATGCACCAAGAAAAGAAAAGTTAGGGATTTACAATGTCATCCTCAAAAGTTCTGTGACAAAAACACATCTTTATTGCCCCAAATCAAGATCTATGATAGGCCTGCTCCTCATTACATGCATTTCATGTTAAGAGTATTTGGAGACATCTACCTCAAGGGAATGAAGGAATGTGGGCAAGAACTTACTGGAAGGCAGTGTGCTGGGCCCTACTTTAGAGCCGCTGAGAGGGACAGTCTGCCTCCATGGCCTCGCTTCTTGATCTGAAGCCACCTAGACTTGTCATGAGGGCATAGAAGAGGAGATGAGGCATAACCCTGTCTCAGACAAAGGTGTTATTTAGCAGGTCTTGCCAAGGTGGCAGGGGTGTGAGGCCAGGGCCTCCTGGGAGGGAATATACTCTCCAGTATCATCTTTACCTTTGTGACTGCATAGATGAAGGCAGCTAACACTGACCCCATTCACTCTGGCTGGCTAGATATAGGCAGGTCAGGTCCCAAGCCCCAATGTAATATAGGCTCCCTTTTTCACACTCTGTCAATTGCACAAAGCCCTATTGTTAATACAGTTCTCTACTCACACTCAAGATAAGAGTAAACAACACTGTCCTTCCACTACACAACTTTCTTCCTCTACACACATCTGCTCTTTCTGACAGCCTTCCTCCGGGCATCTCATCACAGCAATACTGAAAGGGACTGTGGGAAGCCAGTTTTGCGCCCTGTCCTCCAGATAACCCGACCCTCCTCAATCCACTGTTGGGCCTTCCTATGCTGTCCTTTACTCACCTTCTAGCAGATCTCAGAAAAGATGTGGACCGGGTGCCAGACAAGGTGGAAGCCATGGTTATAACCACAGACAATTTAGGAAATTGGAGCCCATACCCACAGATGGGCCTTGGGTTCACCCTCCCTCTGACATCTTTTCTGCCTGGGCAAGGAAAGCTGAGTAATGCTTTAGGAGAAACTTGGGTTCCACTGTTACTATAACAACTAGAATAAATATTGGGGATTCTAGAATGGTACCTCAACAAATCTTTATGGCTTAGGAAATAATTTTCAATGCAGAGATCAGAGAGAAAAACCCGATAATTAGTAAAAATAAAAATTATGCATCAACCAATCTAGGGCAAGTTCTTCCTAAACCAATTTAACTGATTGGTCACCCAGATTGGTCAGGATGAAAATTCTTTTTCTTTTGAGATGGAGTCTTGCTCTGTCTACCAGGCTGGAGTGCAACAGCGTGATCTCAGCTCACTGCAACCTCCAACTCCCTGGTTCAAGTGATTCTCCTGCCTCAGCCTCCCAAGTAGCTGGGATTACAGGCATGCGCCACCACACCCAGCTAATTTTTATATTTTTAGTAGAGACAGGGTTTCACCATGTTGGCCAGGATGGTCTCAATCTCCTGATGTCGTGATCCACTGGCCTCAGCCTCCCGAAGTGCTGGGATTACAGGCGTGAGCCACCGTGCCCAGCTTGGATGAAAATTCTTAAGAACTTAAGCTTTATAGATATGGTACAGTAGAAAATTTTGGAGATTTATTTATTTACATAAAATAGGGCAGGGTAAAGGGAACAGATTTTAGCCTTACTCATTCTGAGGCTAGAGAGACTCTTGAGTAATGACCATGAACAGCAAGCCCAGCTGTGTCTCATGCAGGCATGGCTTATATTTTTCCTATAGAGATCAGCTGCACCTCAAACTGTGTGTTTTTAAAGCACTCAGAGAGTAGAGGATCTAAGGAACAATGCCAAAAAGGCTAAAAAGGCCCCAAAGTTATCCAGTTTTTAAAAATCTTACCCTTGCTCCTTAATGACATTCAACAATAGTCTATTGACAAAACAAATAAGGGTTTCTCTCTTCCTATTTTGAACAATGTCAGTCAGGAAATCATCCCTAAGTTATCAGGACAGCAAAGAAAGCTAAACTTAAGGTGGCAAATCTTTGCTATTGATAGAAACTTGCCTCACTGAATTGTTCATGGAAGAACCAAAAAAGGCAATGAAAGACATGAAAAATACTGATGTTGCTGGAAAGCCTGAGTCTTTTACTCCTAGGCAAGGAGCAGTATCAAGCTCATCGGAGTGTGATAAGCAATTCTTACCTTGCCAATCAATATCCAGTCACAAAAGACCAGCAAATCAGCAATGTCTCTACTTGTAACCAAAGTGTCACTTTGAGATTTTAAGGAAAACGGAGGCTGTTTTTGTTTTAGCATTCTATTAAAGACACACACACACACACACCCTTGGCTTATTGTTTTGCTTTTGCTCTAAACATTCAGAACACAGAAATCAAAAAGGGATATATGTTTTGAACTTACATTAGATGAGTTTTCAAATTTTTAAAAGAAATAATCATCTGATCGATTTAAATGTCCTGTGATATGTATGTCACCAAAAGTGAGAAACTGGCTCCATGTGAAGCATCATTTTCAAAATGGTATTTCAGAAAAGTTTACAAAGGAGTCCTGACATGCCTGCGAAATTGTTTTTGTTTTCCTAAATGGGAGAAGTTGCAGAAAAAGAAGGTCCCTGTGGGCCTTCCACAAGGAAGGTCCTGTGACCGAGAACACAATAAAACTGTTTATAGTATCTTTACGCACACACAGGGGGAAACATTCAATGAAACAGAAGAGACTCTGAAAACACCAAGACTGCAGAGCTTTAACAGCAGTTAAAATGTCTGTTTAATCATGGCCCTAGGCAGGAAAAGTAGCCTGAGAGCAAACCCAGGGCAGGGGTCCAGCCACCTTGGAAGCTGTTGTTTACATTTAAAACAGCTACACAACGGAAAGGATAACTTTACCTTTAGAATTCAACAGACTTTTCAAATCTAGCCTCCTCTTAAGAGTTAGTGCTGCTCTAAAACTCACTCAGGTTTTCTTGAACCAGGACCACATAACCTCTCTACTCTGGCTGATTCCTCGACAGCTCAGAGGGAACCAGTGAAGTACTGTATATAATTTTGTGATGCTTCTGTCAAGGAAACTTGCTTTATCATTCTGCTTTTTGAGACAATAGTGAAGCCATTCCTAAATAATCATCCCTAACAAACTATTATTTTTTGCTTATAAGGATTTACAGTAACTATTTCTACTACTGCCTGCTGATGGAGGCCTGTAAGAGTGGTTTCTCCCTGTGGATTGTATATGTGTAACAACAGCCTTAATGAAAAGGAGAAAGGGATAAGGTACTAGCAACTCTGCAATCTGTCATGTGGAATGACTTTCATCAGTGAAATTTCCAAAGACAGGATCTTTTCTAATCCTAGGATTGGAAGAGAAAGGAACATAAGGATATCTAGGTGCTTAATACCCGATTTAGGTTCAATGACAATCAGGAAAAGACAGTTACTAGAGACTTTTTCTCCCTTCTTTCACAGGTTTTACTCACAACCCATTCAGAGATCCTTTATCTCCTTCCTATCTTTTTATTAACGGAGCAATCCATGCAGGCAGATTCCAATCCCTAAGAGTGCTTTGATTTCTGCCATAAACAAATCAGGAACTGTTAGAAAAAAGGTATAGGAAAACAGAGATAGATAGGCTAAGTCTTCATTCTTCTAATGAAAAGTATGGTTTTTTTGGGGGAAAAAAACACCAAAATTTTGTTCTTTGTTTTTCTGGTTTCCTGGAAACTCCCAATATGACGTATTACTGTCTGAAATACTTGCTTTAGTGCTAGACTGCCACATCACAAATAACACTAAAGAATGCCATAAATGTGCATGTTCCATGCTCTGATGTAATGTTCTCAGGCATGTACATTCACTGCAGAGCTGACCAATGAGTATTATGACACGGCTCCTGAGATGAGGCTGGCCAAAATGGGAGCCTAAGTTGCCCCAAAATTTTCTTCACTAGTTGGTTGTGACTTGAAAATCAAACTAAGGGAAAATAATTCACAAACTACATCTGAACACTTGTTTTTTGCATTTCAAAATATGCTAATGGAGGCTGAAATACCATTCAACCTAAAGAGTAACTGATACAGAAGACAGGAAATCCTCACTTATCCAATGTCCTTTAGCAAGACCTTCAATTCACAAGGAGACCATTGAACTCTTGTCAGTTTCTACTACCCCAGCTGGTTTCAGTAATACTGACAGGGAACAACAGAAGGACGATGGGAAGGCAGATGCGAGAGCTGATGCCAACAGCCTAGAAGGGCGTATATACATCCTGCTGTAGAAGGTGCTGTTGAGGGCATTTATCAAATATTTAGAAAGTGACTTCCTTTACAGAAGTCACCTGGGGTTCAAAAATGAAAGCAAAAGAATCTGGCAACTGTGAAAGCTTTCTGAAAATATTTCTCCTCCAAAGTTCTAAGGAAATTTAAACTATTCATGCCCATGGTCAGATGAACAAATTTTAAGTAACTCTAAGAACATCCCTTGTTATTTTTTATTTTGTTTTACTAGAACATATTTAAAGGAACTGAGAGCCCAGAGAAAGTAGGTTATTATGGAAAACATTTCCCTTTGCCCTTAAAATCACTGGGTTTGGGTTATTCACTTTGAAGTTCTACTATGATCCAGTTTCCCACAAGAAGAGAAGCAGTTTTAGCCATTGAAATCTAAGAGGACTTTCTTCAATGGCACCCAGCAGAAAGGAAAAAAATCTTGCATTTGAAAAGTTATTAGTCTTACAGGAAAGACAAGACATTAACTTCCAAAAAACAATAATGAAGACTGACTAGTTCAAGTCAGAAACCCAGCAGGTTTCCAAGGCCCTTTTATTAGGGGAAGTTCCCCTTTATAGCACAAGACTTCACAAATATGTTGACAACAATCAGATTCATTTTTTAAAATTATGGAGAAAAAAGGGAAAAACAAAACAGATGCACTTTTTATATATATTGAACATAAATTAAAAGAATTTATAAAACAGTCACCTTTTTACAGAATAAATGCAGACTGAATTATAAATGCACCTCCAGGTTGAAATTGTTTGAGTTGCTTTTCATTTTCCAATAATAAATAAATAAAATTTGTTCTTGAGTTTCAGATCCTCCGAGCCACGGCAGGACTCGAAGTCATTACTGGGCTTTCTTCCCTTGGTCGCTCCTGTGCGCCGCGTGTGAGTGTGCTGAGGCTACAGATTTCACTGGCCCATCCGCGTGCATGCTGTCTTTTCGGGGTGGCATTCGTTCATTAATTCGGTCCAGACCTCGTGCTTCTTCAAAACTCCGGATCTTGTGCTGAAGCGAGAACCCTCTGATGGCTACAGAAAAACAGGAAGCAGGTGGAGAGAGCTCAATTAGGCAGCAAAACAACAAGCTTAAAAAAAGTTTCTTAGCACACAGCAACCTCCTAGAGAAACACACAGAAAGGTGGCTATGAAGCACATGTCTGGTGAAAGTCATGGGCAATGTTTGCCTGAATCGGTCTTGTCTGAAGCTACTGCTTCCTTAAAGCCCAAAGGGCAGCTGAAATTGTGAAAGAAATTTTCATAAAAGCTCTATATGCATAATCATGGTAGACATATACCTAACAAAAAGCTAACAAGTACTTACTGGGCCCCAATACATTTAAGAAAGAGTGTCTTATGCACTACAAACATACGCAATGCTAGAACAAAGGCAACCCTAAAATAACTGAACAAGTTGAACCCAGGTAGTTGCTTTTAGCACAAAGACCACAAAGACCACACCAAAAACAGGTAACAAAAGAGCTAATCTTTTTGTTTAGGACAGCTTTTTATCTTGCACAACCAGGAGCTGTACATAAGTTAAAAACTTAAAAATAGCTTCTAGCTATTTTCTTTCTGATTCAACTTTTGTATCACCAAAGAAAGGCATTCCCATTTTGAACCATCTTACCTAATAAAACAATTACATGTATAATACAAGTTTATCAATTCCAATGGTTTTCACAGAAACAAAGTTAATTTAACTTGCCTACCTTAGGGCAACCTCAGAAATGAACTAAATTCCAGTCTACTTCTGCCTCTGCTCTTGAAATCTTTTAGAATCGTTGAAGAGGCTGACCTATTTGGCTCTCTTTAGAATCAAATGGATGGCTCTTGTACATGGAAGGGATACAGAAGTAAACCACTTGACCTCTCATGACCAGCTGCTTAAGCTTCTGCCATTGTATTAAAGCTGATAGAGCCCAGAAAAAAAACACAAAACTGTAGCTGTGGTGAAGGTTATTTAAAATTAATGCAAAGATAGGAC